AACTTTACTTGACAAAAGTAAAACATTTGGTCGGACAAAAGTGGTCAACATTTTGGTTTTTTGAGAGACCTTTGCCCGACGAAAAACGTTTGACGGGCAAAGAAACAGTTATCGGGCAAAATATTCGTGTCAAGGGAAAAAATTGGCGTGTAATATACAACCCCTTGAGGAAACCTACAAGTTTCATCGGGCCAAAGGTATAACTTGTAATTTAGGGTTCATGGTTTACAATTCTTCAAGCAAAATGAAAATTTTCGTCACACAAAAGTGAGGGACATTTTGGCATATTCAATTTCTTTGATGGTTTTGGTAGTCTGCAAAATTAGTTTCAACAATCCAACCGTCAATTTAGTTAGTGTATACTCCAAGATGACATACGCAAAATCATCCAAATGCAAATTTCTGAGATTAGGCAACGGGATAAAATCATTTGACGGTTAGAAACGTATCATCATGACTTAACAATTATTTTAGCTTTGATTTTGATTATTTTTTTTTTGCAACTACACTCCTCAACCTTATAAGAATACAATAAACAAACTCGATCATCTATCTAAAATATTTACACTAGTGGTTACAACAAAAACTTATTGTTCTACTTAATAGAAGTATAGAATAAACTTTAAGTGTTTGTTGAATCTATGGTGTTAATGAAACACGCAGTCTACAAAACTAATTTTAGCGATCCAACCGTCTCACATTTTTAATATAGTACAAGATCACATATGCCAAAAATAACCTAAAACAAACTTTGAGTGATTAGGTAACGGGACGAAATCATTCAACAATTAGAAATGTAGTTTCATGATTTAACGGTTATTTTAACTCTGATTTTGATGATTTTTTCAAATACACTCCTCGAAGCTATAAGAATACAATGAACGGACCCGGTTATCGATTTAAAATATTTACACTAGTAGTTAAAATAAAATCTTATGTTCTACGTACTTAATAGAAGTATAGAATAAAGTCCAAGTGTTTGTTGAATATATTGCGTCGACGGGATATGCAATCTACGAAACTAATTTCAAAACAACCCAAGTGTCACACTTTTTTAATATAGTACGAGATCCATACACCAAAAATCACCTAAAACAAACTTTTAGACATTAGGTAACGAGACAAAATCCTTCGCAGGTTAGAAACGTATCATCATGATGTAACAATTATTTTAGCATTGATTTTGATGATTTTTTACAAATACACTCCTCGACTCTAGAAGAATATAACAATTGAACCCAATTATTAATTTAAAATATCTACATTAGTTGTGGGATCTTGTGGCCTATATATGAGTGGGTTGGGTTCGGGACCTCGTGCGATCTTCTTCATCTAGCTTTCTGCCTCCAAGCGGGATGTCTTCCAGACTGTAGCAAGTGGAGATGAAGTGAGAGGCTATGCGCCAGCGAGAAGAAGAAGCGCGCCAATGAGAACAGGCTCGGGAAGAAGCTGCGCACCAATGGGATGAGGAGTTTCGGTGGTACATTGTTACGATGGCGCATGCAATGGTAGCCTTTGGTATTGGCCTCCCTGTTCCTCTGAACGATCTTATGCCACCACCACAAGAGTAGATAGTTGAAGATATTTGACATGTAAATTTGTACGCAAATTTTAATTTTAATATAATTAAATAAAATTTTTAATATTGTGATTTCTTTTGAAATTAATATAATTAAAACTAATTTATTTATTTAATTTAAATATAATTTAAATTACGTTTAAAAAAAAATTAAAAGTTTACCAGGCAAATACGTTCATCGAGCATGCATTTTGTATTCATATATATTTTTCTTTAAATTCATTAACCAGCGTACTACTGTGATTGGGTAAGTTTTGGTCAATGCATTTTGCTCGACAAATATCTTTGTTGTGCAAACATTACTTGCCCATTTGAAAATTCGTTGGGCAAGTTTTGGTCAATGCATTTTGCCTGACGAAAACTTTCGTACGATGACCTTTGCTCGACAAATTTCTATCCAGCGAAGGTTTAGGTGATTAAAGCCTTATTTTGCCATAGTAAATCCTTCCCTCGAAAGGGGTTTTTTTTTTTTTTGGTAGTTATATATGAAGAGTCTAAACATTTTATGTTATTTTATTACAAACCATATTACTGGTTTAGACTAGAAGAAAAAGAAAGTCGGTTTAAACGTGAAACACTGTATAGGTTGAACAAGAAAATCAATAAATCAGCTGCGTACATGTGACCTCTACATCATGTTCCACACACGCTAATTGTTGTAGGCTAATATTCACCGTTTTAAGGTGGGTTAGCTGTTATTGTATACCTGTTAAAGCTTGTCGTCATTGTCGTGTGCTAGCTAGCTTCAAAAACACAAGTTTAGATTTGTAAATCTTCTAGTTTTCCATCTTCCACGCAAACAATATGCATGATAATCAAACAACCATCTCAAATTGCATCATCTTAACCGCCATACCCACAAATACCAAAAGTAAATAAACAAAAAAGAAAACCAATTAATTTTCATAGATTTGGTGCCAGAATCATGCATATTGAATCTCTGAATCATATAAATGTCTTTTTTTCTTTCCGTTTTTTTTTTTTTTTGTTTTATTTTCATCACTCTTTGCAAATATTATTTCACATGTAGATTTATTAAGTGCAAATTATTTTGTACATTGACGATGCATGTCGATTTTTTATCTACTGTTATTGCAAACAAGAATGTGTAAATGATTGTCCCGACTAGTCAATAAAGAAATTTTATTAGTATTTTAAAATAATCATTTTTTCATTAAAAAAAGGATTTTTTTTTTTGGAGTGAAACAATTGTCAATTTAGAAAATTTTGTTAGTATTTTAAAATAATCATCTTTTCAATAAAAAAAATAGGATTTTTTTTTTGAGTGAAACAATAACGTTAGTAAGTTAAATGTTAGATTAGCCACTTGCATTAAATTTTTTTTTTTTTTAATTGTAGAAAGAGTAGATTATTTCAAAATGTTAATAACAACTAATATAAATTCCCACGTGAGGTTCACATTCAGGTTATAGATGAAGAATTAACAGATTTTTAGTTCTGAACTTAATTTTTAACAAATTTTAGCACAAGAGTTATATTCCGACTACTCTATTATCAAGTTACTATACGACGCTATGTGGAATCCCTTGCATGGTACTGTTGGTATTTTGGTAAATCGAAAACTGAAAAAGTGTTATTAGAAAAGAAAGTCAAGGGACAAAGTAGTTGCAAATTACTGATGGTATTACTTGACGGAAAGGGATCCTTTACGGATCCCTTCCACCCAATTGGCGTAGCTAGAAATTATTCGATGGGTGGATTAAGCTAAAATTATTACTACGAGATTAATTTTTAATCCTATGTTGCCTACATAAAGTTATATAATAGTAAAAACTTGAATGTAGTAATTTGAAGCAAGAATTTTATACTATGTTTTATAGGTTTTTAGCCTTCAAAGCTTTCAAGTGAATAAAATAAGGAACCATTTATGATATGGAAGTTTTAATTTATTACTATTAAATATAATATTGGTTAAAGTGATGAGTTTATTTAACATCTATTAGCTCTTATTATTCTTAAAAATAGGCTTACTAATAAAAAATTTCATTTCTTATGTGAAATATGATAATTAAAAATTATAAACTAACATAAAAATTAATATTTTTAAGCTTGAAGAACCAAACTCTCCCTATGCTATAGCCTAGGGGAGTCTTGTACTTGGCTCCGCCTTGCTTCCACCTAATCTTGTTCATCAAACAATTTGGAGTTATGAAATTTGATTTAACAGCTAAAAACACAACCTCACTTTAAAAGTTATAGCCGTTGGATCAAATTTCAAGAATCTAGATTGTTTAATGAGGAGAATTTGGTAGAAAGGATCCAGAAAGAATCCCTTCCCTTACTTGACCAGCTGCAAATACCTAAATGGTTAAAAAAGTCAATAAATCAGATGGTATATGGGTTATCTAACTCATGGATTGGTCCACCTGGACTGATAGGTTTGAATGTAAATTCAAAGCTGAAGCCATCTCCCTAGTTTTCTCTCCATGCCGTGGAATGTGGATAATCAAAGAGTCCATCAATTTGGATACTTAAAACTGTACACTCATTCCAATGCCATTGCAATAGTATAGCAGAGAAAGCGCAAATTAAGGCGGTCACTAGCAATTTGTGAGGACGTAAAGATTAAAGAATCAGGTGAAATAATAAATCTTGCAAGGGTTTATAGGTAAGTTAGGATACATTTTATATTACCAATTAGTTTTATAGTGAAATTTTAACTTTTTTAATAGTATCATATATAGTAGGTTAACGTACGTGTGAAGCCCAACAATCATATGTGCTTCACCTCACTCAGTTTGTGTTGTTCACTTGTTTGACTTGAATATTCGCCACATATGAGGAGGTTTGTGAGGATGTGAAGATTAAAGAGTCTTACGTTGAAAAAACGAAAAACCTTACAACTTTCCATATTACTAATTAATTTTACGGTGAAACCTTCAATTTTCTTCACAATTCAACCTACAGTTTGTTGCTATCAAAAAAGTGAAAAGGGTTGGTCTGGCAGAATGTTGATGTGCGCATTTTGCATAATCGTTTAAGGAAGTTTTGGTAGAAATATTACTTAGATTGTAGTGAATATTATTAGACTATAGTACTAATTGTTAAGTAATTACGTGAAATTAAATTAAAAATATGAGCCTCACGTTTTATTGTTATAAGGTATCTTACAAATGATGTGTTCAAACACATTTATTTTTTTTTAATTTTATTATTAAAGTATTACAATAATTTAGCCGATGGAAGAAGTTCGAATGTGTTTTTTAATGCACTTGTAAAGGTGACTAATAAGAAAAAAAATGAAAATAATAGGAGAAATAGAAAATGTTGAGGTCTGAATTAATGCCGTCGGTGTGGCTAACCAAATGCTTTTGGTCAACCTTCCTTCTTTCTCTTTAACTGTGTTCCTATAAATACACACTGCAAACCTTCCTCTTCTCCACAACCTCCTCTATTTCTGTATCTCTCGTTTCTTGCTTTCTTCTACCTTTCTTTGTCGTATCTTTCAAAACTTCCCTTTCCATCTCTGAAATAGGTTTAGGGTTTATCAAAAAACCACGGTCCTCCCAATGGTTCTTCTCAAACTCACAGATGGGATTTTGTACCAGCCGCTGGCAAACACACGCCAAAGAGCTGCAAGAAAAGTGAGAAACTATGGCTCCCTCGTGGGCAATTCTCCTCCTCTCACCTCACCGCAAAAACAACCCTTTTCATTTCCCAGTTTCACAAAGTGTAATTTGGCTGGAAGAGACCGTGAGACAATTGCATGTGACATTTTTGGATCCCTTTTGAAATCCCAGTCTGTCTTTCCTTACTTCATGCTTGTTGCCTTTGAAGGTGGCAGCATTTTCAGAGCCCTTCTCTTGCTTCTATCGTACCCGGTTTTGCTGGTTTTCGACTATGAGTACAGATTAAGGGTTATGATTTTCTTCACTTTTTGTGGTCTCAGGAAAAAAAATATGGAGAGTGTTGGAAGGGCTGTTTTGCCCAAGTTTTATCAGGAAAATCTCAACCTTCAGGCCTATGAGGTTTTTGCCTCAGCGGGATTTAGGGTTGTCCTCACAAGTGTCCCTAGAGTCATGGTTGAACATTTTCTCAAGGATTATATGGAAGTTGGTGATGTTTTGGGGACTGAATTGCACACTGTTGGGCACTACTTCACTGGTTTGTTATCCGGCTCTGGTTTTCTTGTGAAGCACAATGCTCTCAAAAAATATTTTGGAGACAAAAGACCAGATATTGGAATTGGTTCTTCAAGCCTCGAAGATCATCTTTTCATCTCCCTTTGCAAGGTATGTAATACCACTTTCAAATAAGTACCAAGTTTGATTTGTCCTCACACTTGAAGTCCTAGTTTGACCACTAATGCTGTATACCTCAACATGTATTAGGGTTAATCTTACACCCAACCCATAACTAGCTAGTTATAGGTATTATGATCTTATCAACTTTCTGGTTTAGGGTACTTTATCTCCAAAGAAAAAGTCAAATTACAATTGATGGTTGATGTGGCAATTGAAGTCTTATATCAAATTAGTACTTCTCTAAAAGAGTTGTCAAATATTATTTTATTATTTAAGGAGAACTTTAAATGGTTAAATTATTAAAAAAATGTTGAAACAAAATTTTTTTTGGTTGAAATGTTAGTGAAATAAGGGATCCACCATTAAAAATAATTAAAAATAAATTTGATTCCAAATCACAAAGCTTTCAAATCCAATCTGCAAATAACAATTCGGTTGAAAAGACTTTTGATGTCAAATATGCACAGTGATACTCCACATAGGATTTTGACATCTGTTTTGTAGATGTTGTTAGAAGGTTTTGGGGTACTATTACTAATAAGTCACATCAATGGCATTAGAAAATCATTTTCACAAATTACATCCTTTTCGCATTTCCAATTTCCATCATGTATTTTTTTATCTAAAATAACCCAAGAGGAATTCCCTTTCATTCCTTTCATTAATGGGAGGTGTGCACAGATTTAATTTCCTTTTTTTCTCTCTGGCAAGTATAATATTATTTTGACCTAGATATATGGTACATGCAAGTATTAACATGCATTGGTGGATGAGTCTACTATGTATATTTATGTAAAGCTAGAACATTACGAGAGATGTTTAAACTTGATTGTTTGGTTACACTGTCATTTAGTGTTACTAACCCACGTAATTGCAACAGGAAGCCTATGTAGTGAACAAGGAAGACAACAAGAGCGGTACAAATTCAGCAATGCTGAGGCAAAAGCAGCCAAAGCCAGTAATATTTCATGATGGAAGGCTAGCATTCTTGCCTACTCCATCTGCAACCCTAGCCATGTTTTTGTGGCTCCCTCTTGGAATAATCCTAGCCATATTAAGAATCTCAGTTGGCATTATCCTCCCCTGCAAAATTGCCCTATTTTTGGCCTCCTTGACAGGTGTCAATCTCTCAGTCAAAGGCTGCATAAACCCCACTTCCTCAAACCCAAAAAAAAAAGGAGTCCTCTATGTTTGCACACACAGAACCCTACTGGACCCAGTTTTCCTTAGTATGGCTTTGGGCAAGCCTTTAACAGCAGTCACATATAGCCTGAGCAAAATGTCCGAAATCATAGCGCCGATCAAGACAGTCCGATTAACCAGAGACCGAAAACAAGACGGTGAAACCATGGGGAAGCTACTTAGTCAAGGAGATTTGGTGGTTTGCCCCGAAGGAACAACTTGTCGAGAGCCGTATTTGCTGAGATTCAGCTCACTGTTTGCAGAACTGGCTGATGAGATTGTGCCAGTAGCCATCAACACAAATGTGAGCATGTTTTATGGGACTACAGCCAGTGGACTAAAATGCTTGGACCCAGTTTTCTTTCTGATGAACCCTGGGCCTGCATATTATATTGAAGTTCTTGGGAGGCTCCCAAGAGAGCTGACTTGCGCTGGGGGAAAGTCTAGCAATGAAGTGGCTAATTACATTCAGAGGAAATTGGCTGATGCTTTGGGCTTCGAGTGCACCTCTCTTACAAGGAGGGATAAATATTTGATGCTGGCTGGGAATGAAGGAATTGTCCCTGATAATAAGAGAAAGAAGCCTTAATTTTCATATAATTAAAAAAAAAAAATTCCTCAAAGTTTAGGAGATTCAATTTTAATTATAAGGACATTTTGGTATGAAATGTCTATAATGGGTCAACCTATTTTCTCTATTTACTCTTATACCATTATTCCATTCATCATGGTAGGTGCCACATTAATTAATGTTTACATTTTTGTCTAATGTTTGAATTATTGTACGTTACTTTGTATGGTGCTATTGTAAAATATTCTCCACTTGCATTACAGTGTTACTTTTTCATCTGTTGTTTATCTACTTCTAACTCTTTTATGCTTTCATCATATTGTCGATGTTGTCCAATTCCTCTTCTATCATATTGTTCCAGTATTGATCATCTCCTTCTTCTAGTTCTGCTTTTCTTTTACTATCTTTTTTGATATTGTAATTGATTTTTACAATTTCTTCTTTGACTTTTTCAAAACTTTCAATATGGCTGATGACGGATATTTGTCTTGCTATATATGTACATTTCTTCGTCTTCTGCTACTAATAACATATCGTACTTAACATCCTCGAACTCATCCAAGGCTAACATTTTGGCTCCTTGATATTTTAGAATATTTTGTTGTGGAGGAGTCCATCAGTAGGTTGATATAGATGACAGTCTAAAAGATTCTTCATTTATCATGGTTATATGCCTAACTTATTCTTTATGCATATGCATTACCAATCCGGAGGACTATTGATAAGACTTATACAAATTTCCTTCCAAACTTTTAAGTAATCTTCTGCTACTTTTTTAAACTTAATAGGAAATAATTATAATTGGGAACTAAGGGTAATAAATATTTTATCAAGATAACCAAACTCTCATAGTAATGTTGGGGTAAATTCTACTACATTATTCTTTTCTTTATGCTCATAACTAAAGTGCCACGATCTAAAGTCTCTCATATTAATTTTGGCCAAAGCAATGCTAACCTCCGGTTTACAATTGCAACTCTCTATACTATCACAAAAACATGGTGGATATATCTTTATAATAATATTCATTCCTCGTTTTGAATCAAAGATGGATTCATACAAAGAACATTGTAACTGTAATTGCCACTCTTGCATGGACTGTGATGCTCTGTTCAGAATTTCATATTACATGTCTATTGGCAATATTCTTAATTTTCTGTTGTATACCAACAGTCATAATAACACATGGAATTGGTCATTTTCTACATGTTTACCATGTGACTATTGACAATTGTAAAGTTAAAGACTGCTTAACTGTTTTGACCAAATAATTATTTTATGATTGTTAGGGTTTAGGGTTTACCTTACTGATGTTTCTGACTTCTTTCCCTAATGTTTCTTGGCTTCTTCAAATGGTTGGAGTCATAACAATAAAGTCTTTTACGATAATTTCAGGAAAAATATCTTAGCGTGATTTTGTAGTGCAGACTTGTGTATGTTTTTTTTTTCTTTCACCAAAAGTGAAGACTTCAAGAAATGGATTATGTAAATTATGGTTTAAAACTTATAACATGTCAATATTCTTTTCCAAAGAGAGGAATGTATAAATGGTTTGAGATGTTTTCAGGGTATACCATTTTTAAGAGAATTAAGTTAACTGTTATCTTATCTAAAGACTTGAAAATCTTGGTTGTTTTCCTAATCTTTAATGTTATGCAATAAGGTTACATAATCTGTTACCAAATGATGGTTGTTTATGTTCTTGTCCAAATGTGTAACATAAACAAGCATAAATGATAGATGTGAAATATTTGTCTGTGAAGGAAGAGGTGAAAAAATAGTCGATAATGATTGAACACATAGACACAAAGTCAATGGTTGCTGATCCACTCACGAAACCATTGCTTCCTAGAGTGTTTAAGGAACATGTCACTGGAATGGGGGTAGTAACTTTTTTAATTCTACATTTATGTGGGAGTAAAGAAATAGTGAGTTCATGTTTTTGTTTTTCTTAGCAATTTATTGTTTGACTTTTGCAGACTTACAAAAAATTTATTTGTTAGACGTATTTTATATTGAAGTTTATTCCGTAATTGTGCAAACTTTGGTTTAAGTCTGATATACATGATATTTTATTATTCAAATAAGGATGAACTCGGAGGTTATGTATTATAGATATAGCACAATTGGTATTCAACTCATTCAGGATGATCTTTTCTGGCATTTTCCTATTTTCCGTAATAGTCATGTAGCAGCCAAATGTGTGAAACTGTTATTTCTTTCTTTTCCAACAAATTCATTTGGGGTCAAATTGGTAGCCAAATTCTTGTTCAGATACATGTGCATATATTATGATTTAGGATTTTTTGATTGTAAAGTTTTCAACATATCAATGATATTTACCGATTCACTACAAAATTTTGCCGAAAGTCATTGCAGATTTTGAACTTTTGAAATTTTTTTGGGAAATTTTCTCTAGTTCGATTAAATCTGAATGAGTTGATGTACCCACCACATTGCAAATTTTCATAATTTCTGCTGAAGGCAACTAATATCAACATCGATATTGATATATCCATTATTATTTTTGTAAATGTGCATATCGATATTTGCACCTATAACGATATTTAAACATTGATAATCATAATACATTGCATTCATTTATATAAGAACAAAGGCAGAGTTGACACCATTAAGGGTTTGATGAGAAAGAAAATTTGGCTCGTGATGGTCATAAATCTCAAAATTGCAAAGACAAAAGGATTTGGGATTCCTAGGGTTTGCTGCGGAGGGAATTTGTAAAGAAAAAGGTTTGCTGGGAAAGAGATTTTGAAGATCTTCGAGAATAGAAGTGAGGGTTAGAATTGGTTGGTGGCATCTAGTTTGAGTTTTGTTATGTAGATGGGGGAGTTTCGGTTGATTGGAGATTAGATTGAGAAAAATAGAAGTAGAAGGCTAGGTCGCATCCGATACAGAGGAGATGAGTGAAACAAATTAGGGAGAGAAGAAAGCTCATCAATATTGTGAGAACTAAATATTTTTCTTCATGAAGGTGTTCTACAGTGAGGAAATATATTCTCACGGAAAATTTAATTTTCTCGTTGTTTCTTGGACATAGTGCCTAACATTTTTCGAGAACTCAACATTTTCTCTTGAAGGTGGTCTACAGTGAGAAAAAAAATATTGCTCTTGCTAAAACTTTCCTCGCTAAAGGACCAATTTGTTGTAGTGTTAATTTCCAAATGCCTTTAGCAGGACTTCTTGTAGCTATCTGTGGAGACTAGTTTGCATCACATTAACAGAACATCGCAGTCTACCTAGTATGGTTTGCGACTTCCTTTTTCAGCTGACCACAAAATCGGTAATCACGTGCTTATTACTTAGAATTCTCTCTATTAGTATCTCTCAAAGTATTCTCTGACTTAAGCATCGAAAGCCTTTTGGCGGACACGTTCCCCTTTTTTATGGTGTTCGTCAATTAGGCTAATGTTATCTCTTATTTTATTGGTAGAATTTTTGGTCAATTCAACTTTGGACGAAATTTGCATTCACAATACGTACATGCACTTACTACCCCACCTCATGATGACATCACCCACATATGGGACCTTCGGCGGGTACCAAGTGGCAGACTTGTAGAGGTGCACTTCTTGATAACTCACTAAGCATTTATAGGTAATGCTAGGGAGACTAAATTTGTAGACAGAATTTATAAACTAAATGTGTCACTAATAGGAATGAGTACGTTTATCAACGCTTAAGTAATAATCCAATTATCAACTTTAATATCATTTAGTTTATAAAATTCCATCTACAAATTTAGTCTTCTAACATTACCCAGCATTTATATTATTATTGGGAAATATTTCCACACAATTTTTTTTATGCACATCAATATTTTTCTAAAACTTATATCGAATATATAAGTTAAAATTAAAAAAATATATATAAATAAACAAGTGTGTGAACAAGAAAAAGAAAAGTACGAGAGAACCGTTAGATAAAAAAGAAGAAAATATTCTTAGATATAACAAAGCCACTACAAAACATTAGTCCTTCTCTACAAAAGAGAGAAAATTTGTTTATCTAATTAGGTCATAGTGGCCCAACGAATGATGGACAAGCAATTGATCACACAATGGGAGAGGTGGAAACAAATTAAAGGTGTCCATGTGATGTGATTCAATCCACTAATGTTTTGTCTGTGTGCATACATCAACAATAATGTGACAGCTCAACTATAAATCATGTTATACAACAACAACAACAATAACAAGACAAAACAAAAAACCCCCACTGAATTTAACCCACCGACTCTCAATCTCAAAAGCTGCACTTAGAAAAATTATATGATCCACACAAATCATGTAATGGCATGCCTAATGCAGCATCCACTAACCGATCGTGGCATTTCTCCCTCATAGCCCCATTCAACCATCGGATGAACCCCTTGCTACATCTTTCATAATATTTCAACAATTGTGCCACCACTTCAGGGTCCTTGCCCTTCCACCAATATTTGTCACACTCTGGCGGTTTGGTGCCAAATGAGCTTTCAGCCACCATCCTTGTGTACTCCACCATACCATCTATAAGCTCCGGCAGAGCACGGGCCTCGCCGTCCCATATTAAGACACGAGTCATGCCACGTAGGATGGCCAAGTCCAATGCACGTTTGGCATGTTCCATGAATGAATGGCTTATTTGAAGGACAAAATAGCCATTTTCTTTGTTGGGTGAGGAGTGGACAATAACTTTCATATCGGTATACATGTGCTAAACAAGTTGTTCACCATTGTTAGATGAACTTGAGTTCTTCATGCTAGAAAGCCTGAAAACAACATGGTTTACGAGCTTCTTGGGAGGTTGATGATGATAATCATTAGGGTAAACAAGGTGTTCAAGAAATTGCTAGCGTCGAGGATTATGCTGGTGGCTTTGTCATTGGAGGCGTAGAAGAGGTCGAAGCGTTGACCTGCGTTAGAGTCTTTGGCGTCGTTTATGATGGTTATGTCAAACCCTTTGGGAAGCTTCGTGGTTTGCATAGAGTGCGAGTAGTATGACAAAGATGATGAAGAGAAAGCAGAAGAGGATGCTGTCATGCGACACATGAATAGTATGGTCGTTTTCTGAAATAAGGTTTGTTGGTTTTTCAAGGATAATGGGTTGGAAGAAAGATTGTTGGTCTTTACAGAGAGAGAAAGTATATATGAAAAATGAAAGGAGAAAGGAAAGGGAGAATGTATATATGAAAAGTGAAAGGAAACGAGTGATTGGTGGATAAGAAACATAAAGAACCAAGGGAGAATAATGAGATGAAGCAAAAATGAGTGGATATTGGTAGGGGTGGGCAAATGGGTATAAGAACCGCGGGTGGGGGTGGGTACGGGCAGGTTCCAGATGTATACAAACGGGGCCCCAAACTGACCTATTTGTCCCAGAACCCAGATACTTCACGTCAAATCCTAGATACCTATTCTACCCTCCTCCCTCACCTCATGTCTCTCTCTCAAAGTTTTTCTCCCTCAGATCCCCAATAGACCTTGTCCACTTCTACAACAAGATCACCTTTTTAACTTTTCATATAATTCCACATCTACCCTTTGAGAGAATTCAGATTCAGAGATCCTTCCATTTGTTTTTTGTACAGCTAAAACCTAATAACACAATGAGGAGGAAGGAGAGAGAATGAGACTCAGAAATCTAAATCGCCATGAACGACTTTGAGGGTTTCTTGGCCTCCGATTTTGGCTTCAAGCCCTCCAGCAAATCGGCCCCAATGTCTGCTTGTTCTGCTAATTCTTCGTCAAAGCCCTTGAATTTTGATCTCGGATATGCTTCTACCTGTGGGCCCCCCTATTGTCACCCCATACCTTCATCGATTCACCACCGGTGGTTCAGTTGTTGGTGTGAGTAGCTTCCAACCCGGCAAATTGTTGGCAATGGCGTCAATTTGGGAATTTGGAGCAATCTGGAACGTTTTGGGAATTTGGAGCTCTGTATCAAAACCAAAATAAAATAAAAAAATAAAAAAATAATTGGACCTGTGGACCTGCCTTAAACAAGCCGAGTTAGGTCCGGTTCCCAAACTCAAAATCCCTCTAGCCAGCCTGGCCCAACCCGTTACATTTTAAAATAGGTAAGGTTTGGTTCCTCCAAATTTGGGCACGGCCCGACCCTTGCCCACCCCTAGATATTGGTTTGTACATGTTTAGGGGTCCCTCACCCACCCACCCACCCACTCCAAAATGTGCTCCACATTCTATGATAATTAAGTAAAAGTAGGGAAAAGAATAATATATGTACCTAAGGTTATCTTTGGTGTACTAAACATAGTCTTTGGTTATATTTTAGCTCTTAAAAAAATTAATATTTTAAAGACTATTTTAAGATTGAATTTTTTCTTCTCCAACCATGCATGGTTATATTTTATTTTGTCATATGTTATTACTTTTTAAGGCCAAACTTAGTCTGCCCTAAGGCAACATGTTACATAGCCTGGGGCCAAAATTAGCCTAATTCTTTGAGCCCAATTCCATTTAACCCTTGGTTGGAGACTGATTTTGTCCTTTTCAAAGCTAGATGTGGCCTATAGCCCTTGGCTAGATGTCTTAACTTATTTTTGTTTGTGATGCCAAAGAAATGAATGATATGAAGATTATTTGGTATTATGGATTTTTTTTTACTCGAGCAATATTGTGCGAGGAACATGAAAATACAGGATTTTAGGTGGATGAATGAATAGTTTTAACTACTTCAATTACAAAACCAAGCATCTCTAACACAATTTTGTTAAATTTTTGCTAGTTTAACAGGTTATAGTATTGAAAAACTGCTTTAGTTAGTCTGTTTTTTTTGCTAGTTTAACAGGTTACAGTATTGAAAAATTGCTTTAGTTAGTCTGTTAACTCTTTGTTCTAACAAACTTTGAATACTTTATTATTAACAATTATTTCACAAAGAAAAAACTCAACCCGCCACGTACTCTTTCTTTTCTCCTTGGCTCACGGGTCCACCTTGAGTTTTATTAATTTTCTAATATTTAGCATTTGAATTGTGACTATAAATTTAAGGCACACCTGTTCATTTTGTTATTTTATAGAGTCCTTTAAAGTCTTTTGGAGATGATTTTTATAATTATCTCTTTAAATTAGCTTTATAAAGTCTATTGGAGATGCTCTTAGGCATCAGAAGTTAGTTTGAAGTAAACAATTTGTAAAAATCGATACATTTGTTCATGTTTTGTTAATATTTGTGTTTTTAATTTGTCAATATTGGTAGCATACTAAGAAGTATATACAAGATTTATGAGTCTATGACTATAAGCACCAATTTTAGATCAAAGCCCAAACCAGCAAAGGCCGTTAATTACAGATGGTCCAAGATGTATGTTGCTGCTCTTAAACTGCCAAAAATTAAACTCTTATGGTTGCATCTCTAGCCTCTAGCTACACAAATATGCTAGCTCGCTCGCTCGCTCTCTCTACCCACCGCGCCCCGCCTCCCCCCCCCCCCCCCCCCCCCCCTTCCTTCAATAAGAACTCACTGGAATATATATCAATTACAAGATTCATCTCATTTCAAAACTAAGAAGTGAATCCATGCATGTTTCCATCCATGTATTGAAATTTTATGTTGTTAACACCAGAAAACATGCCACGATGAACAAATTGTGCACGCCATGTGAGGAGTTTGCAGCTACTATTGCTGCTGAGGTAGTAGGGCCAGAAGGGACAGCACCAAACACAGTGGAGCCACTCGTATTTGTTGTGTTCAAGACTGATGAACTTGTGCTGCAAACCCAATGCAAATATACAAAATATTAATTTGATCTTTCTAACTAAAAAGGCAGCTGGAAAACCTGAGAAAGCAGAGTTAGATGAGAGCGAGCTAATTACCTAGTGGATGGATATTGACACGTTCCAGTACCTGAAAACAGTGTTGTAAAATCACAATTAAATAAAGGAAAGCGTGACATTAAGTTTTTTTATACAAGCAAAATCTAGGAGGGGGATTTGAAGACAGAGTTGAAAAGATGAACGCTCTTTATCGCTTGAGCTGCAATTCCTTGCAGTGTGACATAAAGTTAAAAAGAATGGAAGTAAAAAATGATGACTTACTTGGGTCAGTGCTCGTGATCACAGCGGTTCCACCAAAGTTGCAGCTATTTGGAACTGGGTTCTTCTGATAATAGTTATTGAATGCGAAAGAAGCGTGATCCCGGACATTGCTTGGATTATAACAGCTTCGTCCTGGCTGAATCTCTGAGCAATCAGTGCCACCATAGCCACAAGCATAGTCCAAAGCAACTTGTAATGCCATTTGTGATGCACTTTGGCTAGCAACACACCAACTTGAACCAGTGGATGCAGGTGGTGATGGTGTTGTTGCAGTATATGGGGTCATGCTAGGCGTTGTTGTGACAGGAAATGTTGAATCAGCTGGATTGGAATTAGGGTTCACAATTGGTGTTGATGAAGTGGGATTTGTGGGAGTTATTGTAGGGACTGTTGTTATTGGAGTAGTGATGTCTCTTTGGGTGGTGGAAATTAGGGTTTTAGGGAACTTCGGCCCTTTATTTTCTTGGTCGTGTTCTTTGCTGTGTCCAACGTTCTTTTCCTTTTTTGTCACCTTCAAACCTGTACTAGAAAATTCAAAAAAAAAGTAAGCTTTACTTTTTTGTATTCTGCAATTTTTGAGCATTGAAAGAATGGTGCCAAATCCGATGGTGTGGTTCCTGGTTTCAAAAAATATAATCAAAACCTATAAATTAATAGTTTCACAAGCCACCACAACTAGTTGAACAATTGATCCTTAAATTTGGAAATAGGGTTAATAGTAAAGTTTTCTGTTTGCACTAGTAAAAACTGAAAAGTTCAGTGACTTTAGTACAATGTAGGGTATTTACCCAATTGGGGTCTTACCAAGATGAAAGATGGAAAACTGATATTTTCAAAACGTAATCATGTAAATGCTTGAAGGAATTGGAACAATAAAAAGGTGGTAAAATGTTGAATTGAGTTAGGTGACATCCCTTTCCACTTGAGCAGGTATGAAGGAGGATATAATAATTTTGTCCAAGTTAAAGGTAGAAGTTTTACTCATGAAAAAAATGTTCCCTTGCATTTCTCAAAGAAAAATAAAAATAGTAGGATCAATTCGGATAAATTTTCCATGTCTAATCCCTTATAATTCTCCAAAAAAAAAAAAAAAAAAAAAAATCACAACGACCTTCATACATACCTTATTCTATCCAAGTCTAGGCACCACAAGAAATTAAAAATAAATACTAAAGGAAAAACTATAAGAGGGAAAATTTAAATTGAGCATTTGCCATCAAGAAAATTTGAAAACAGATGGTACTCTGAGCCCTACTTTGACCGAGGGAAAAAGACAAAAGAAAAAGGAGAGAGCATCATCAAGAAAACTATATCTAGAAGGGTAGAAAATGAAAAATTAACTTTTTCGTCCACAAAAAGAAAATGTATAACTTAAAGAAAGAAAAATGAGAAACAGAACTAGCTAGGTCTACTAGGATTGAAATTGATAAGCAGCATTATAAAGCGATAAATTGTGAACAAAGAACAAGAGCCACATTTGAAGTGACACAATCTGAGCTAGGACATCACATATATTCATAAAAATTTCATCTCTCAAACCAAAAAAAGAGTCCAATGCATACATGGATCACTAGTAAGCCGAAAGTTAATGGGGAAGAGGAAAGAATAAATTAAAATTCACTTGTCAAGGGCAGAAAGAAACAAAGAAAAAAAGAAAAAGAAGCAAATGGGATTATTACAAATATATTAACAAAAGAAAATGATAGATGCTGCCATGACAAATTATAAATAAGAAAAACCAAATATAAAATTGTAAAGGATGCAACTCAAACTTTAAAACAAGACAAAGGAAGTCACCTGAACAGAAGAAATTACCCAACAGGAGGAACAAGCAGGAGACTAGAATTACAGGATAAATAAACCTTCCACCCATTTGGTACCTTTGCTCACTTCTTCTTCTACTGCTTCTGCTTCTTCTTCTTGGTGACTTCTGCTTCTTCTTCTTCTGATCCAATCTAGTCCTACTTTTTGTTTGATTTGAAAGAAAGAAAGAGAAGCAAATATAACCCAGAATAGAGAAGCATCAATGATGTTGTTGTTGAAAAGAAGGGATATTTGTAAGCTTTGTCAATTGTCATGCACTTAAAAATATTTTTACATATATAAAGTACAAGTGCACCTCTGTGAGAGAGAGAGAGAGAGGTGTAGGGAGGTGGCAGCAAGTGAAGGAGGGAGGGGTGGAAAAAGGAGGGAAAAGGTAGGGAAGAGAAGAAGGTTGAGGAAAGAGGGGGAAGGAATCCTTTGGACTTTAGGTTTGGGTCAGTGGGCTGGTAAATGATGATAGTAATGATGGTGGTGAGTGTGCATTTTGCCTTTCTCTTTTTCTATGCCTCTCCTTTTTGAAGTTTGACACCATTTTGTCTGGGTAACCCCATTAACCAACCAACCACCACTGCAGGTGTGTTATTGTAGATAATGTCTTCTAAGCTAACATAACTCGTTCACGGTAGGGGGGAGGTGCACGTATTACAAATTTCAGTTATGAAAATAAAATCTTTGAAACAAAAACGAAGAAAGATTAAAGAGAAACTTGTCACTTAAGTAGTTGCATTCAACCTGTTAGGCTAATGTGTTCATCCTTTTGGGCTCAGGCTCAAACTTTTGGAACAATTTCTCGATTTATGTGTGACATCTTTGTATAAGAACCATGCTAATTTTCCATTTATCGTTTCAATGTTATTTGGTTAGGCAAGTGTGTTCCTTTGGCACTCAAGCTCAACTTTTGAAACAATCGATTTATGCCAAACATCTTTTGTATAACAACCATGCTAATCTTCTCTATATTGTTCCAATTTTATCGAATGTCCCTCAAAAGGGACAGACCTTACTGTTGGTCACATTTATATAAAGTATAAACTCTTCTGGACTGTTAGAGCTAGTCGATGTCGGAGTAGCGTGTCTTTCCTTTTAGTGCTTTCACTATATGCGGGCCTTTCTCTTCAATTCAATTGCAAGCCCAAAGAATGCTCGAGCATAAAGGTGCACAATTTCGAATCCAAGTCTTGTTTAATTATGATGATCATAGCGCTAATTAATTAATATGAACTGAATAAAAATAAATAACACGGGATTTGTAGTTCAAGTCGTTAAGTACATTCACTTTTTATGTAGGATCTTATGATTGATTTATCTATTCACAATGTAAATATTTATGTTAAAAATTAAAAGTGACAATAAAATGTTATAATTCACCGCTTCAACCATATAACACCACCATGCAATAAGTTCACATGAATGCCATTGAAATTGATATAGTATGTGATCATGCAACCAATGAACTATTCACTTTACATATAAAAAAAAGGAAAAAAAAAATTTAAAAACAAAAATAAAACCCCATTAAAATTGTATGAACAAAGTGAGTTGAATTGGTGAAATAAGTCCTCAAAGTGGAGGGTCTAAAATCCTATCCTATGGCTTGCACTTATGACCAATTGAACTCGAAATCTACCCATGTGGATTATTAATTAATCCAAAGTTTGCTTTGTGCTTTTGTTCCAAGTAAAGGCAGTTCTTGATTGTTACTCCCATAATCCCCCATTAGTATTCGGTGGTGGGAATGTCTTGATTGAGAATATAGAGTATAAAACTATTGGAGGCTAAGATCTTATTAGTCTTTAATTATAGCTATAAGCAACCTATGATAAGTATGTCTATCGATAAAACTTGTATTTTTGTGCCTAAATCTTTGAGAATTCCTAATTCCTTGCACAAGGGTCAAGCTTTACCATACTGCTAGGTCATGCTATCGATTTAAAGCCACACTTGCAAGGAATAATAGTGTGGTGATGTGTGTGTACCACATTTATTCGTCCCACTTCCATCATGAAGATGCGACTCATTTAAACCAAATAAATTCATGATTTTTTTTAACAAAGTAGAAGCTGGACGTCGTTAGTTTAAATTCACTTTCCAAGTGATATAAGAAATAAATGTTTTTTTTATTAGACAAGTTAGACAAATGTTTATGTTGATGCACTGTCTAAGCAAGACAATTTGTTGATAAATCAATTTTCTAAATTCACAATTCGGACAATATAAGCATATTATGTTGCCTTATGGTACAAGTAGTTTTATTATGTAGTCCCTTACGTGGATTTTAACAGTACTCATGTGAGGAGCTGGTCGACCAGCCAAGCACAAAATACGGAAGATTGGCCCATAAATCAAATCCATGGTAGAAATTTGGGGTATGATCACAAGTTCCAAGCCCTCAAAGTTCAAGTAGCATTTCCAACGGTCCAAAATTATTATAACTTCTAAAGCAACAAAACAGATGGGCTGTTGGATGAAATTTTATAAGTCTGGATCACTTGATCCGGTAGCTTGGTGGATCTCTTCTCATATTCCCCACAAGAGGATTAGATATCATACAATACAACTTAGAAACAAAAAACAAGAGCAACAAGAAATATGACACCATGTTGTTGCTCTTTCACTTCTTCAACCTCCATATCCAAATTCATCTCAGAAAGTCCACACCTCTCCATGCTAGAAAACCAATGCACCTCCATGAAAGACCTTCAAAAGATCCACGCCCACCTCCTCAAAACTGGCCTGGCCAACGACACCATCGCCGCCAGCCGTGTATTGGCCCCTTCTGCCTCCCCACCTGGAGACATCAACTACGCCTATATGGTTTTCAGACACATCAAAGAACCAAACCCCTTCATTTGGAACACCATCATTAGAGGCTTCTCCGAAAGCCAAAACCCAAAACTGCAATCTCTCTTTTCACTGAAATGCTGGTGGCTTCAGAAACTGAGCCTCAGAGATTAGTTACCCTTCAGTTTTCAAGGCTTACGCACAAGATGGTCTAGCGAAAAATGGAGCTCAGCTTCATGGAAGAGTTACAAAATCTGGCCTCGAAAGACATTAAGTTTATACGAAACACGATCATACACATGTATGCAAATTGTGGGTTTTTGAGTGAAGCAAGAGAACTGTTGGATGAGGACTTGGAATGTGACAATGTTGCATGGAACTCTATGGTCATGGACCCTTCCAAATGTGGTGAAGTGAGTGAATCCAAGAGGCTGTTTGATAAAACGCCTTCGAGGAATTTGGTTTCTTGGAATTCGATGATTAGTGGATCTGTTAGGAATGGGAAGTATGCAGAGGCATTGGATCTTTTCGGCGAAATGCAGGAGAGGATTAGGCCTAGTGAGTTTACAATGGTGAGCTTGTTGAATGCTTCAGCTCAGCTGGGAGCAATTGGACAAGGGGAGTGGATTATTGAACACATAAAGAAAAATGGGATTGAAACTAATGGAATTGTTGTCACAGCGATTATAAACATGTACTGCAAATGTGGGAGCATCGAAAAGTCTATTCATGTTTTTTATGCAGCCCCCAAAAAAAGGTTGTCCTGTTGGAACACCATGATCATGGGTCTAGCGGTAAATGGTTGTGAGGAAGAAGCGATTGAGCTGTTCTCGAGGCTTGAGTCTTCGAAATTTATACCAGATGGTGTCAGTTTTCTTGGCGTCGTAACAGCATACTATAGTTCCATGGTTAATGTGTTAGGCAGGGCGGGACTTCTTGAAGATGCAGAAGAGATTATAGATAACATGCCGGTAAAAGCAGACGCCATTATTTGGGGGTCATTGCTCTCGTCTTGTAGGAAGCACAAAAACATTAAGATGGCAAAACAAGCAGCAAAGCGTGTGATTGAATTGGATCCAAATGACAGCTGCGGTTATGTGCTTATGTCGAATATCTATGCTGCTTCCAGCCAATTTCACGAAGCAATAAAGGAAAGGCTTTCGACGAAGGAGCAGTAGATAGAGAAAGAACCAGGATGTAGTTTGATCGAAGTGGACAGGGAGGTTCTTGAGTTTATAGCCAGTGGAAGACTGCATCAAAAAGCGCGAGAGATCTATTCTTTGCTGGATGAGTTGGGGTTTATGATGCTGGAAATGGGGTAGGTTACGATAATTTAGCTTCAAATTACCATTCGGGAAATCAGTGTGCGTGCTAAACTGAATTTGTGTACAAACTGAAGGCATAGAACAGAAGTGAAGTAGATTAACTGTATTTTATATAGCTGCCCTTGCAATGGTTACATGATTTATATACTTAATGTAGGTTACATGAAAAGAAAAACCAAGAAGTAATAAGGGAATTCGAAACTCTTTCGATAAAGCTTAATGCTACTGGAGAGATGACACATCTGGAGAATATTAATCACCACTTACTAATACAGACATTGATTTCTTGCAACTCAAGTTTTTGACATGGTTAGGCCGGATGCCCAGGATTACACCTCAGGAGGGACATTACCAATTAGTGATCAGGTTCTGAGGAAGTCCATATAAATCCGAGACGTCCAGGTGGTGGTGGCGGCCATTTTGGTACTGCTGATTTTGCAAAGCCACAGCAACTTCATCTTCATCCAGTGGCAGGCGATCAAAAGTGGCGTTCATGAAGGAAGCAGCCATGATCACGACAGGCCCTGAAGCAATGAGTGCACCAACCACACCCCCACCCACAACCTGCCCCTGCGCCCCTGCAAGATAGATGGTTAGGCCTGTGATGCCAGGAGGGGCTGGAGGGGGCAGGATTGACCCGAGCAATGAGAGTATTTCAAACCGGCCATGGAGGGTCACAATAGCGCCGGAGGAAGCTGGTTGTCGCAGTGTAACATTGGTCACACAGCCACTTCCACTCAGTATGCAAATGCCCCTCTGCTTCCTCCTTGCAAAGTGGGTTAAACTCTCACTCACATCACAGCCAGAACTTACCTCCATAGCATGAGCTCGAAGTGCATTAGCGCTGTCACGAGTGACTATGATGGGCGGCTTCGGCTTGTTCTTCGAACCCGCTGGCCTCCCACGTGGCCGGCGAAGAGTCTCCCCCTCAGAAACCAGTGTCACTGCCTTAGGCAGCTTGGGTGCTGTAAGCATTGCATCATTCCCAGGCTTGTGGTGACTGTTACTTTTATCGGCGTCTTGGCTCCGATCAATTACAGTTTTGGACACAACGGATGGAACCACCAGATCTGAACCGCCCGCCATTAGCAAACCCGTTTAAGCATGCACTCTTTGCAGTCACAAGAGATTCACCATAAGATGTGTTCAGAAAGCATGATTAAATAGCAACATTTCTACCAATAGTTTTATGCAGCAAACCAGAAAGAATGATCCAGAATTAGGAGGTGATTAAGTGATACCAACCACAAAATTAATCACTAATAATATCAAAACTGCAATATCACTCTCACTGCCTACCTCCCAACTGACTTTTCCCTTCATGTCAATTGCCTTCTCCAACAGTTACATGTATTATACTAAATTACTCACAAACCATACACAAATCAGTTATTTGAGCACACAAGCTACCAACTCAGACATTACATATGCTCCAAGGTAGAGCGAGAATTCCACTGAACCTTAAACTATCGAATCAGAAGGCTTTCTTCACTAGTAGAAACAAAACTTGCCGACTACCCCATTGAATTTAGAGATCATGCCCCAACGTAGTTTCCTACGATACAACGTTGAGACATAAGGAAGAAAACGATAACTTCCCCGTTTAGAGTATGTACAATTGGACAGCCACACAGAACCGCCGTAGATTCTGAACTATAGTGACCCTAATTTTGGCAACTCCAAACTCACTACAAGCCCATGTCAAAAAGCAAAAAATGAAAAAAGAGAATGAGAAAGGGGAAACTTTCTATTAGTAGGTCCGCTGCCAAATCTGGTGCAGCTGCTGAGGTGACAGGTCTTGGAATCCTCCTAAGCCTAAATCATTGAGGCGTTGTCGCTGATGTTCTTGTGTTACGTCCTTTTGGGAAAAATAGAAATCGGGGTGTCCCCGATAATTCTGCAACTTGGTGGGCAGCTGTCCAGCCCGCCCTTGTCGATATCCTGCATGCTGTTGATTATGCCCAAGTAAGTTATTAAATGCACTGTCTGGAACGGAAGGCAATGTTCTTGAACTCTGGAATCCACAGAAATGACAGCCAATCATCAGATCAGTAACCGAAACAGTGAATATCAAATCAGAAGTCATGCTGAACTACTGCTCTGAAGCAAACTACAAGCAATAATATGCACAAACAATAATTGCGCCGAAATACTTCTATGTTTCAATGTCTACCTGATAAAGAGCGGCTAAATGGTTTCCATCTTTATACTGAGGGAGGAATACATCACCATAGTCGGGTATGCTGCCAGGAGTGGCAGATGCATTATGCAATAAACTCCCGTGAGTGTTATTAGAGGCCCCAAAACTTACATGACCAGTGACAGCAGCAGCAGCAGCAGATGTAGGCAATCTGCTTACTGAGGCTCCACTATACTGTGGGAAGTTGTATTCCATGCTAGCCCCTGACTGATGGAATGCACTACCATCTACATACTCTTGCTGCAAATTTGGTGGCACAGGCGAGTAGTTCTGAACCTGAGGCATGGAAGGTTTATAGACCATACTGTTTGCTAACTGTTCGTAAGAAAGGGTAGGCTGAGCGTATGAAGGGGATGTATGACACTGAGGAAGCACAGAACATGCCTCAGACAAAGGTACGGTGCCTGGTCTCAGAGCCTGTATGATTTAATGCCACGATATCAGCAATGCCTTATTTCATTTACTCCAAAAAAATTAATAACAATATTTTGCATGTGGACCTCAAATTCAAGAACAGGGGTTTAATGCACTGAACGATGTGCGGTCGCCCATCACTTACGTCAGACGTGGAAATTGTTGGGTTGGTTACAGAAGAAACTGCACTGCTATATCTTGAAGGCACAGGTCGCTTTACCAAAAACTGTTGGAATGACTCCAATAGGTCACTTCGTACAGAATCTGAATACAGCTGGAAAAAAAATTTCAAGAGGGAGAGAGCGAGAGAGAACAGCAAGAATACAAGGTTATCAGCTCACATGCGTAATCACAATGTTCAAAACCCTGAAAGAAAATACAAATTTGACAAGAAGATTGGCGACACCAAGGAAGAAGGCAAAAGAGAGATCGGATAATAGATCATCATGAAGGATAGAGAACAGATCTATCAGGGATTAGCTATACACTGGAAATGCTCTTTCTTAAGAACACACTCAGATTTAACTAGGAATTCCATCAAAGGAGTGGGCATATCAGCACAGCAGTTACAAGTAGGGATTGCTACACAAACAGACGACATACATATTCTCCAACATGATTTTTCTTTATGCGTACGCGCATGAAAATGCTTAGAAAAACCACAGTACCATGAAAAGTGGTATAAATTCATTAAGCCAACTCCATGAGCACAAAATCATTGAAGTTAAGATATACAGATCATCATTCCATAGCATAGAAACAAGTCTTGGTCCAATACTAAATCAATTAGAATCATCACCATTTAGCAAACATTTAAATGTAAAAATGTGGCACTCATGTTAGCCATCCCAATGCATACAAGTAACTACTCAAAAAATTCAAACAATACTACTTATAAGTTGAGCATAAAAGAATGCAGAAAGTTAAGAAAATATAACTCTTACCATATCATTTTTAGGTACATTTCTGAATTCGGGATCTGCCTTTGCAAAAGGCAATCCAGAAGTTGCTTTTTCAATCTTCTCAGAATTAAAATTATGTAGAGATGAGGTAGTAATGTCTTTATATCCACGGGTTGCTTCAAGGATATCCTGTTTTATTGGTTCTCGCTGTAAAGGTACAGGCAAATCATAACCTATGGCTGCTCTTCTAGTATCATATAAGGATCCACGAAGTTCGTCTTGATTATACCCTGAATTTCTGAACAGGGAAAAAAATCCAAAAGATTAAGTGACATTACAACTAATATGATAGATTTGAACTAAGTGAAAGAGTCATGCCTTGTATCCAAGCGAGCGGCTGAGAAAACATCTACTCCTGCAGAAGATCCTCCCAAGTCATTTTTCAAGGAATTAGATGGCTTGCTCGATAATGCAGAACTTTGAGCCAGTCTAAAGGTGCCAAAACTCAAATGTGAACAATCGGCAGCCAATTCTTGCAAATTATTTGGAAGGACTACTGCGCAATTATCTTGATCATCATCCTTTCTTAGATTCAGTTGTTGCATTCTCACAGTAGCTGATGCCACAGCAACATCATTAGAGACAGAATGATTTGGATATGACGTATTTGAATCAATACCGGTTCCTGGAATTACACATAAGCAATGACAAGAAAGACAAGAAGAAAAGGTAGCATAAACTTCTTCCTCGACATTGACAATAATAAGATTTCACAAGAAGGTAAGTTTGCAACCTTTCACCGCCAGAACAACCACAAACCCTTCATCAAAGACATTGCAGTTTCATAAACAAAATCCAAACTTCAGCACCACTGTTTTTGGTTTCAAATACCACTTTGAGGTTGAGGACAAGGGTGGAAGATAACATCAACAACTCCACCAATCTAGACCCAAATAGGGTTAGATAGAGAAAGTACAAGGACTCTAATGAAACAAATTATTTCGCAAAAAAAGTCAATTGGCTACTCAAGCACATTGACTCTTCTCAAGCAACTTCGTCTATTATTACCAATTTTAGTGAAGGTTAAAGGACAAAGTGCTAGGAGCATTACCATGCAAAAAAAATTATCAGTGTGTCAACAAATAAAAGTGCAGATAAACTTATGCTTATACAAGTCACAAAACTTTCAAAACATAGAAAAGAACAAAATGTGAAATTGTAAATGCAACCAAAGAAGGTTAAAATGACAAAAATGAGACACAGAAATGTAGAGACATGTTTCATTCAGCCGAAGATGATAGATCTAACAATTCAAACCACCATGGATGTAAATCATGCCACCAACCTAAAAACAACCATGATGTTTTATATGTTATCCATTACAACACAATGATCTGGATTGATATAGATACTAGCATCACGAATGTCATTAGCAACGATCTATCATATCATATCTGGAATAGAGAAAACAATCATCCCAAATTCATATATAACACAAAAATAATTACCTTCTCCATTCTCATATGCAGACCTATGAGATTTGTAGGAACTAGAATTGGAAGACAAATCATCAACACAATATGATTTTCCACCGGAAGCATCCGCCATCTTCTGTCTACTGGAAGCAAAAGCATAAGCATTGCAATCTGAGCTAACACTTTCGCTACTAATATTCCCCTCTGATTCTTGGACCTTATGTGACTGGTAATCCCTTGGCACGTTGGATTCATTGATATAAAACTTAGATTGATTTGCATTTAAAGCTGATGACCTATTTGCAGCTGTTGGCTGCTCAATCACATGCCATTCATCATGGAAATCATTCTGTCCAGCACTATCGCCAGTTTTATGTAACATCTCTGACACACGAGGATTATGAGAATGCATATATTGGTGCATCTTTGTTTGGGAAGATTCCACGTGGCTATTACATGAATATGTTGAAAATGCATCCTGATGTGAAGATGTATCAGATGAAATATGTGAGCCCATGCTAGGTTTTCTACCCATCTTAACAATGTCGGCCAGTGAAAGATTCCCCAAGCTGGTTCCATAAGTAGATTGATTTCCCGCAGAAGGTTGTAGAGATGCAGAGACTGCATCACCTGGCCTTATGGAAGTACTAAAAGATTCACTGCAGCAGATATTGAACAATGATTTGCACGAGTAATAAAAGACATAAAAGACCATCTGACTACTCTTACTAACTGTTTCTGCTTCTAGTTCTTTAATCAGTTACTTTAATAATAGAAGGGTATGATGATATTAATAAAGCAATAAAAGAAAACAACGAAACCTGCCCTGTTCAAACCACTGAACTAAACAACTTGATGGAAAAAAAGAAAACGCCCCACTCTCTCCCTTCACCTTCCCCTCCCCCTCTCCTATCCTTTCACATTTCTCCATCTTTGCTTTATTCACTAATATTCTAATACCCACCCCTTGTACATGCATAGTTATGGAAGTAAACTATCCTGAATCAACCAATGAAAAATTGCTTGAGTTAACATATGGCTCATGCATGATGTCACCCCTCCACAGCTAATCTTATATAAGAAAACAGATGACACTAGAACTTCAGTTTAAAACTTACTGCTGAGATGAAGGTTGCTGGCTTGTGGTTCCTCCTGTAAAGTGAGAAGCTGAAGTATGAGGTGAAGGAGCAACAAACCCATTCTGTCCCTTATATGCTGCTTTACCAAGCTCTAACAAAAGGAACACAAGCAGTTCACAAATTAAAAACATGCGATACTGATATGCACAACAATGCTACTCATACAATTACAAGACAGTGACTTTACACAATGAGATCAATATACCATTGGAACTAGTTTGAGTTGATCCACACCATCCACCAGTACGCTCGCTAATACCTCTAGCACCACAATTTGAACCTGCATTGTGAACTCGCGACTTGGTGTCCTGTGTCTCCTTTATCTGGGATTTTTAAAATGACATGACATAACAAAATAAAATATAAAGATACAGGAAAAGGAACAAATGATGTAACAACGGAAAAGGAGGGAGTCCTTATTCATCATTCCAATCACAATTTGAAATGCATACTAGAGAGTCAGACGGAAAGGAAGCATAAACTGAAATTTTCAATCATGTAAAAATAGGAACAGTAAAGATTCTCCTGAAACACAGTTACCCAAAAACTATTTTTTATGAAATTTAACAACATTGGAATTAACCTTAAAAAAATTCCAGTGTTCCTAACACCAACACAGTTAGCTTCACGCACAAGAAAAGTGGAAGAAAAATTATTATTGGAGAACGAATTAAAAGCTACACATTTGCAAGGGTGGGTGCATTTTTGCAAGGGTACCTCTTTCCTTCTTTCACGTTTGCTCCTGACTTCATGAAAAGTATCTACACATTTGCAGAATACTAAATCAATGACGACTTTAAAGATCATTAGATAGCGGAAGAAAATTCCGTCGATTAGATATAACTTAAACTCAATTGAAAGTGCAATGCATAGTAAAATTTCTGTCCTTTATACAAAAATTGATATTTTATATCATCTCTAACCTAAAAAACTCGAATACAAGCATTAGGATTTAAATATTTCAAAATCCTTTGTATTTCTACATATCAGCACTCTTAGAAATCGGCAAGTAATAAGAAAATTAGAATTTCCTAATGCATTGCTTGGATGGAGAAAATATACACCGAAACTTCTACAACTGAACAAGAAAACAATACCATTACATATATTAGCTTGAAATTTTGATTAAAAATCAAAATAAGGAAGGTCAGTATATTCCAGGCAAACCCAAATTTTGCTCTGAAAAATCAAATCTTCTAAATTTTCCCGGCAACAAAAAATCAAGCTTCTAATTATTCCGGCAATAAACCCAAATTATCACGACGTTGAAAACTCTTTACTTTCTTATCTTCTCCTATGGTTTCTCAGCATCCAAACAAAAAATTACTAAATAACGATTAAATCTTTCATTCTTTTCCCAAAATCAAAGCATCCAAATATAATATTTAATTTAAATACGACTGAAAAATAAAAAGGTGGTGGCGCTGTAGAAAACCTAAAGAGAGCAGGCGCTGAACCGCGTCGCTCGGGTCCATATTGCACTCTTTAAGAACCGAGTAGATCTCAGGCTCCGGACAGTTAACAATCTCCTTCAGGCTCTGTATAATCTTCCTCGTCGTCGGCGGAAACTGCGCCGCCGCTACCCCCACTCCATTCTTCGTCTCGCTCCCCATCCCTCTCTCCCCTTTCTCTCTCCTAAAAAATATAATCGGAGAAAAAAAATTCCCAGAAAAAATAAAACTTTCTTTGCGGCTAGAGATTTTCCGATCAGCCAAACAGAAATCCAAAACCCTCAGTCTCTCACTGCTCTCGCTCTCTCTCTCTCTCTCTCTCAAAACGTCATTACAAAATCCTCTCTCTCACACGTTTGGCTTTTATATACGCCACCCCGGTTTTTTCTTTTCTGGGTGGACTTATTTAGAAGAAGTGGTAAGTTGGTGACAGCAAGGGGAGATGCTAAACTTCTTGGCTGTAAGGGTTTTGTTGTGACGGTCCCTTCGTTTTAATCCAGGCAATAAACTTAGTTTACAAGAGGTAAAATAAATATTTCTACTCACAGTACTCGAACAATGATGATGTTCATCATTATATTTATCACTGTTAAATGAGAAATTTTTTTAAATTTAGATAGTTGATAAATAATGTAATAAGTATCAACCCGTTAAATGACTAAATTTTAAAATTTGTAAAGTTCTCAGCGAAAATGCAAAATAAAAGAACAAAACACCAATTGCAATTGGCAGAGTTTGCAAGGTGGTGGTGGTTGGTGTAATTGCATGGTGTGCGGCAAGCCAAGAGGACGCAGAGTTGAATACTATCATGCAACTTCACTGCAGATGCGTCCACGTGCCCATGTCAACCGCTTCCCATGCCATGCCAATATATATGCCGTGCCTCCCTCACTCCCTCCTCAATATTTCTGCCGCTTCTCTTGAACTCTTTCAAGTTTCAACACCCCGCTCTCACTCGCTGCTGCGAAATTTCATCACACTTGTCTCTCACCGTGTACGAATAAGATTGTAATCCATGCAGTAAGATTTATTGGAAGAATAAGCCGTCCTACAGCCGTCCTACTTTGTCCTACTTACACACTAGCCGTCCTACAGCCGTCCTACCTTGTCCTACCTACACACTAGCCGTCCTATAGTCGTCAAGCCGTCCTACAGCCGTCCTAGCTTGTCCTACCTACACACTTGTATCATGTATATAAATTCTTGTAATCTTGTAGAGAAACATAATGAGAAAAAGCATTCTCTTCCATATTTTCCACATGGTATCAGAGCCGGAACCTTAACCGGCCTGACTCCATTGTTGTCCCTTCTCTTCTTCTGCACATTCGTTTCCATAATGGCAGAAGATAATCTTTTTGGCTCAGAAGCTGAAAGCTTCACAGCTCCTCGCCCTAGTTTTCCAGAAGCTGAAGTCAACCCAAACCAACGTTTGTGTTCTGTGTTGTTAAATGAGTTTAACTATCTTCCATGGTCCAGATCAATATCTCTTGCCCTTGGAGGAAGGTCCAAACTTGGATTCGTCAATGGAAGTATTGAAGCACCTGACGTCGCATCGCCAGAGTATGAAGCATGGCTGTGCAAAGACCAGCTGGTCATGTCGTGGCTCCTCAACTCCATGGATCCTAAGCTGTCTGAAATTTTCAGTTTTTCAGAATCCTCTAGTGCTCTTTGGAAGGCAGTCAAGGACATGTATGGAAATCAAAACAATGCTGCTCGAGTGTTCCAGCTTAAGAGGAATCTCGCAAGTCTTCAACAAGGTGATAAATCCTTTGTTCATCATCTCGGTTGCATGAAAAACATGTGAAACAAACTAGATATGTATCGACCACACACTATCGATGCTGCTGTACTGTTTAAAAGGTCCGAGGAAGACAAAATCTTTCATTTGCTTGCAAGTTTGGGTTCTGAATATGAAGATCTTAGAAGCCATATTCTAATGAATCCCGAAGTTCCATCATTTGCAAGTGTTTGCACTACTATCCAGCGAGAAGAAGTTCGCAGAAAGGTCATGAATGTTGACGTAAAACCTAGTGTGTCTGAGGCTAGAGCTTTTGTGACAAATCACAAGTCATTTGGAGATAAAGTATACAAGGGAAAAAGGCTAGATCTGAAGTGTCTACATTGTAATAATGTTGGACATCTAATAGATCGATGCTGGATATTGCACCCTGAGTTGAAGCCAAGGTTTGAGAACAAGCCTTTAAGAGATCATAAGGGCTTACACGCTAGACCACATACAAACAAGTACCATCCTGCTGCTGCTACATCCATCGGTGGGTCGATGAACTTTACAGCCAATCCGGCTGACTTGTTGAATGAGTTCTCAACCTACCTTCAAACCAGAAAAGGAAGCACAGGTGAAACGTCGATTGGGGAAAGTCAAACTGCTCTTCTTGGACAGTTTGCAGGGTTCTTAGCTGAATCTGGTCATGTACCTCAAGGAGACATTTCAGGTATCATGTGTGCTCTTTCAACTACTCTGAATGTTAGTCACTCTCATGATTTTTGGATTATAGACTCAGGTGCCACAGATCACATGACAAATCAATATTCAAAGCTATACGATTTTGAAAGCTACACTAAACCATCACTAGTTTCTGTAGCAAATGGTAGAGGTGTGCCAGTTCTAGGTAGAGGGAAAGTTAAACTGATCTCAGAAACTATTGAGTCCACAGCGTTATATGTTCCATCTTTTCCTTTTCAATTATTGTCCGTAGGAAGGATTACAAACTCTCTAAACTGTCGTGCAATTTTTCCCCCCACAATGTTGTTTTTCAGGATCTAGCCACCAAGAAGCTGATTGGTGAAGGTCACTACCTAAATGGGCTGTACTATTTTTCAGAGGACCTCAATGTTCCAAAGGGGTTCCAAGTCAGCTCAAACCTAGAACATCGGTTGTGGCATCAACGCCTAGCACATCCCTCAGAATCTGTGTTGTCTACGTTGTTCCCTAGTTTATGCAAATCCTCCCTTGTATGTGAAATTTGTCATTTGTCAAAATCTACTAGACTCCCATTCAATTCTTCCATGTCTAGGACTAGCAAGTTTTTTGAGATGGTGCACTCCGATGTTTGGGGACCTGCACCTCTAGAGTCTTTTGATGGTTATAGGTACTACGTTATCTTTGTTGATGATTTCTCAAGAGCCACTTGGTTGTACCTCCTAAAATTCAAAAGTAAAGTTATAGATGCTTTCAAGGACTTTCATAATCTTGTCATGAACCATTTTTCGTCCCAAATCCACATACTAAGGTCTGATAATGGCACTGAATATACATCCAAAAATATGACTAACTATTTGAGCACCCATGGAATTATACATCAAACAAGTTGTGTAGGTACTCCTCAGCAAAATGGAATTGCCGAAAGGAAGAATAGGGACCTACTTGAAAAAACCAGGGCGCTAATGTTGCAAATGAATGTGCCTAAGAGGTTTTGGTCTCAAGGAGTTCTTGCAGCCACCTACCTTATCAACAGACTGCCTAGTCGTGTTCTGGATACAAAATCACCATCTGAGGTTATGCAAAACAAAAAAAATTAATCTTTCCCATCTGAGAATCTTTGGATGTAACTGTTATGTTCATATTCAATCCCATCACCGAGACAAGCTTGATCCCAAAGCTGTCAAGTGTGTTTTCATGGGATACTCCTCCACTCAAAAAGGGTACAAATGCTACAATCCGTGCTCCAGGAAGATGTTTGTCTCAAGAGATGTACGGTTTGATGAAAACCAACCATATTTCAACAAATCATCAGATCAAAATCGTCAGGGGGAGCACTTCCTAGATCTCTTCCCATTGCCAAATCCAGTCGAACCAAGTGACTGTGTCTATTCACTACCTCACAACCGGGACTCTCATGCAACCCTTAATGACAACCTGCTTATTGGAGATGACACTGAAGCCTCAGAAGCACAAGTAGTTCCCCATGACCATAACACAACATCTATACAAGAAAGTGGAGCTGAACCTATTGTGATCCGAGCTCAACCCCGCAGGAATCCGACTCGAGATTGACATCCACCATCAAGGCTGCAAGACTATAAAACTTACCATGCAAGGTACCCTATTCACAAGTTTGTAAATTACTCCAAAGTCTCTTACTCTCATGCAGCTTTCCTCAGTAAACTGTCCTATGAAAGTGAACCAAGGAACTTTCAAGAAGCCAATCATCAAGGTGTGTGGAGGCTAGCCATGGAAGAAGAACTCAAGGCCTTGAATGAAAATAAAACCTGGAGTGTAGTTCAACTTCCCAAAGGCAAGAAGGTGGTAGGCAGTCGGTGGGTCTATAAAATCAAGTTTAATTTTGATGGCTCAATTGAACGACACAAGGCAAGATTGGTGGCTCGCGGTTTTACTCAAATTTTTGGAGTGGACTATAAGGAGACATTTGCTCCCGTGGCTAAGATGAGCACAATAAGGGTTTTGTTATCTGTTGCAGTGAACCATGAATGGCCATTGTACCAAATGGATGTAAAAAATGCTTTTTTACATGGAGACCTCGAAGAGGAAGTCTACATGCAACTACCCCCGGGTCATCCACAAGCACAGAATTCAGGTATGGCTTGCAAGCTTCATAAGTCAATCTATGGCTTGAAACAATCTCCTCGTGCCTGGTATGCCAAACTGAGCTCGGTACTTGAAAATTTTGGGTTCAAGAGAAGTCATGCTGATTCCTCCCTGTTTGTTCGAATAGGATCAGTTGGCAAATTAGTTGTACTAATCTATGTTGATGATATCATCATTACAGGTGATAACATTGATGAGATTCACACTCTTAAACATTCTCTTCATCAACAATTTGCCATTAAAAACTTAGGAGTTTTAAAATACTTCCTTGGGATTGAACTGGCCACTTCCCCCAAGGGACTTTTTTTTAGTCAAAGGAAATATGTGATTGACTTACTTCAAGAAGTGAAGATGATGGATTGCAAACCAACTCGTACTCCTCTTGATAGCAAATTGAAGTTGGACTTGACAGGAGAACCTCTCAGTGATATCAGTTACTATCAACGATTGGTGGGTAAGCTTATATATCTCACCATCACCAGACCGGATATAACTTACGCCGTCAGTCTTGTAAGCCAATTCATGCATGCACCTACTGAAGCTCATTTAAATGTTGTTAAAAGAATTCTCAGATACCTCAAAGGCTCCATTGGTCGGGGAATCGTCATGAAAAACAATGGTCATACTCAAATCATTGCCTACACCGATGCTGACTGGGCAGGGAATGCTATTGATAGAAAATCCACTACTGGCTACTGCACGTTGGTTGGAGGAAACCTCGTGACATGGAAGAGCAAAAAACAAAATGTAATTGCTCGCTCAAGTGCCGAAGCTGAGTATAGAGCCATGGCTTCCACTGCATGTGAACTCATTTGGCTCAAGGGCCTTCTCTCGGACTTGGGGTTCTCAATCAACACACCTATGTCTCTTGTCTGTGACAATCAAGCAGCTATGCATATTGCCTCCAATCCGGTGTTCCATGAACGCACCAAACACATTGAAGTTGACTGTCACTACGTTCGGGAACAAGTCCAGTCCAAGGTAATTCAAACCACATTCACTCGAAGCCAAGATCAACTTGCTGATATTTTCACGAAGTCTCTTGCTTCTCCTCAGTTTCAAAGTCTGCTCTCCAAGCTTGGATCAATTAACCTCCTTGATCTAGCTTGAGGGGGAGTATTGGAAGAATAAGCCGTCCTACAGCCGTCAAGCCGTCCTACAGCTGTCCTACCTTGTCCTACCTACACACTAGCCGTCCTACAGCCGTCCTAGCCGTCCTACAGCCGTCCTACCTTGTCCTACCTACACACTAGCCGTCCTACAGCCGTCAAGCCGTCCTACAGCCGTCCTAGCTTGTCCTACCTACACACTTGTATCGTGTATATAAATTCTTGTAATCTTGTAGAGAAACATAATGAGAAAAAGCATTCTCTTCCATATTTTCCACAGATTTTAACTCTCGATTCCAATATAATATCTTTCTTCTTTTCGCAACAACTGAGTTCGAAATTTCAAACTGCCGTGTACTCTTCGGCGTCTTTTTTTTCTCTTCGTTTGCTATGAAATATGAATATGTGGTTCAGAAGGAAAATTAGCAGTTATTCTTGGTTGTTAACATGTGATCTAGCCGAAACATGGATACATGATGTTACCTTTTTCTTGTAATGAAAATTATGTTCTGGTTGCTTTGATTTCCTCCGTAAGGAGCTTAGGAACATGAATTTCAATGTTTTTGCTCAGATTATTTGACACAGAAGCAATGACAGCTCCGGGGCGCAACGAAACGAAGAAACAAGAGAATCAGAAAGCCTACTGTAATGGTATAGATGACAATCCGGTTAATGATCTTTGGACTAATGGAATCATTTATGCGTTTGAATTTGTTCGAGGGCATAAGAAGGCCCTCTCATCGCCACTAGTTGTCAAGGATGTGGCGAAGAAGCAAGTTTCGAAGAAGCCAGTTTCTTCACCTCCCCTCGCAAATTCCCGAGTTGGTCAGAATAATGTAGAATGCAATAACCACAGCCAGGACTCTCATTCAGGCCGTTTCTGTGCCAAAGAAGGTGTTCCAAGAAATTGTTGGGTGCCGATTGGCTGGGATAGGATATCGGAACTGGTCCAGACAGTGCAAGTTGATGCTTGCTGGGAGGAGCCAAACGGCTTCACAGAGGATGACGATGATGTTACTGTAGCATATGTCGCAGCTCCTTACTGGGAACGGCCAGTAGGTCCTACATAGTGGTGTCATGTAGATGCCGGGCATCCATACATCAATTGGTGGCTGAGTACTGCTCAATGGTTACACCCGGCTGTCAGTATTGCTTTGCGAGATGAAAGTAAGCTGATAAGCGAGCAAATGAAGCACCTCCTGTATGAGGTAAAATTCTCTTTTATCTTTGAGACTATCCTTCCGTTGATTGCTTTACAAACTTACTATGCAGAATGACTAATCTAACTTATTAGTGTTAAATTTAATGCATGTAGTTTTCGATTATAATGCCAGGTTCCTGTAAGGGTTGCTTGTGGCCTATTATTTGAGCTCCTAGGCCAGTCAGCAGGTGATCCACTTGTTGATGAAGATGACATTCCCGTTGTCTTACGATCATGGCAGTCACAGAATTTTCTCGTAACAGCATTGCATGTTAAAGGTTCTGCACAAAATGTTAATGTCCTAGGAATATCAGAAGTCCAGGTTTGTTCTTGTTCAATGAAAGACTTGCTTATGAATATCACATTGCTTTTACATCATCAAATTTGATTCCATTTTCGTGCGTAATCAACTGAAATCTATTCCTCATGATGACTTAATCCCATGCTTGGTGAAGGAACTGCTTGCTGCTAAGGGCATTAGCATGCCACGGAATATTCACGAAGTCATAGCACATTTAGCTTGTCGACTTGGACGTTGGGATGATAGGTGACAGATTTTTTCATCAGGCAGTGTTAAGCATAAAATTGCACTCACTAAACTATGCGAGATTTGGTCGTGTAATGACTTGTTTCTTTGTTACTTTTTCGTACTTTGGATGATTTTTCAGATTATATCGCAAATTCATATTTGGGGCTGCAGATGAAGTTGAGCTGAAGTTTATGAACAGGTGCTTCAATCCACCCGTTTCATCATATTATATACAAAAGATTAAGATTTGGAATAGGTCTACTGATTAAGTGTATGATAAATATAACATGAAATGTTCGATTATGATAGGAGAACTCACGAAGATATGTATCTATTCAGTATAATATTGAACCAAGAAATCCGATGGTTATCAACCCAGGTACGATACTTTTTATTATACTTGCAGAAAATTTTGTCTTGTATACTACGAGAAGAAATTTCAATTCACAAGTTTGTCTTTAGTATGTAGAATAATCTAAATCAATTGGTTAATTGGCATTAGTTTGCTATAGATTTGTATTCGCATGGAGTTCTAAGAACAATAAACAGAAGAAATGATGTTTAACTACAAATTCAGAACAAGTGAGAAACAAAAATAAACTGTGAAATATGTGTGAGCGCTGAGATATGGAGTACAATGTGTGAACGACAGGGATCAAGTCGGGATTAAACTTCAAAATCACTGTTATATTCTGTTTCATACATCTGGTTTTCTTCCTTTGAATCAAGTGCCGTTAATTTAATTTCAGATGAACAACTAAAGACTTTCGTATAAGTTTGAATCGTGCAAAAAATACACTAATGTTTCACCTGAACTTGGTTTCTTGATGTTCACCCTGAAGGTTATTAGGGTGAAGTGGTCACTCCATGCAAGAGAGGAGATCATGTTCTTGCTTCTTCACCACTTGAGAGGGGACGCCACAAAGGGATTGCTGGAAGGAGTAAGAAAGAGTACAAGGGAAATGATTCAAGAGCAAGACGCTGTTCGCAGTCGCTTATTTACTATTCAAGATGTGATGCAGAGCACTGTTCGGGCATGGTTGCAGGTTTACATACATACTCAAATGCTTAAAATTGTCATTATATTTGCCATTGATCCCTTACAACGTCACAAGTGACTCCTTATCTCAAATATTTTATCCCAACAAAAAATGAATTTCAGTATGCATAGAGTGGAAATATAATTTGAGCTACGAGAAATTGTAGCATACATTTGTGAACGACTAATGAATATTGCAACATTGATGTTTTGCTTTGTATAAGAATTGTATAAGAAATGTACCTTGCCAGAAATGTATTACAATTCAGCTTTAAATTTTTTTTGCCACCACTATAAATTTTAGGACAGAAGCCTCACAGTGACACATAACTTGGGAGTTTTCGGTGGTTGTGGCCTTCTTCTTTCTATCATCACTGGCCTTTTTGGGATCAATGTGGATGGAATACCGGGAAAGGAAGGATCACCATATGCATTTGCTCTGTTTTCGGCCATTTTGGTCTTGTTAGGGGTTGTGCTGATTGGAATTGGATTGGTTTACCTTGGCTTAAAGAAACCTATTGTTGAAGAAGATGTCGAAGTTAGAAAACTCGAGCTTCAAGAGCTCATTACTATGTTTCAACAAGACGCAGAGTCACATGTGCAGGTTCGAAAAACTGTTCCTAGAACCAACCCAACTGCTGCAGGTAGACTCTCGGAAAGTGCTGCAGGTTATGTTCTCATCAGCTGAACAAATAAGCAATTTATACGCTGAGTAAGTGCATTTACTAATACAAGAGGGTTCTTCGTGACATGTTTTTGTTAGTCTATGGGTGAAAAACTTACCGGTTGATGAAACACTTTCTTTCGTTCAGGCATATTCGCAGACGATGCAGGCAATGTTATGTTCCCGGCAGCTGAACTGGTTTCCTTTTTTCGTTATTTTGGTCGGACAGCTGAACGAATAATATGAATTAATTTGTTTCTTGGTGACATGTTAGACCATCTCCAAAGGGATATGTCATATATAATGTGGCATTTGAATTATTTGACTTCATGTTTTCTAGCTGTCCTTTTTTACGGTAAACAAAGTATGAGTCAAATATATTTAATTTAATTTTTAATGCATGGTGTAGACATCGAAATTTCAGTGAAACAAATGTTCACCAATGCATTAAAGTTTTGACGTGTCAAGGCATACATGGCATACGCCACATGTTGTACAAATTGTACACATGGCGTGTGACTCAACAAAATAGGAAGAAATACCCTTGAAGGATTAAACAAGTTTTTCTTCTCATTTTTGGGCAATGACAAGGCAAGCACATTTCAATCCATTGAGGATCAAAACAAGTTTTTCTTCTCATGTTGGGCAATGACAAGGCAAGCACACTTCAATCCATTACGGATCAAAGCAAGTTTTTCTCATTTGGGCAATGACAAGGCAAGTACATTTCAATCCATTGAGGATCAAAACAAGTTTTTCTTCTCATGTTGGGCAATGACAAGGCAAGCACACTTCAATCCATTACGGATCAAAGCAAGTTTTTCTCATTTGGGCAATGACAAAGCATACACATTTCAAGTTTAAAATGGTGTTAAGTGGGAAATTAGGCCATAAGTATTAAGTGGGAAATTAGGCCATAAGTTACACCACTTCAAGTTTAAAATGGTATTAAGTGGGAAATTAGGCCATAAGTTACACCACTTCAATTTCAATATTGCATTAAGTGGGAAAATTAGGTAATGGTGCTTGGAAAGGAAAAAAATATTTTTGTGGTGGTGATTCATTCTCAAAGCCTATAAATAGGTTTCTCCATCAAGGTATCAAGCATCAAGGAATTCACAAATACATTTCTCTACTCCAAAATTAGAAGAGGAATTCCCCAAATCCTTGAAGCTTTGAAACTCCAAAGCTTCCAACCATCCAAATTCCCAAGAATTTCGAAGGATCAAGAAAGCTCTCTTCGTTCTTCGTTAAATCATCTTTCAAGATCAAGCCCTGACGGCCCTTTAAGAAAGTGTTCATCCGTTCATCCTAAGCTCAAGCCCCAACGGCCCTTTAGATCAACAACCTCAACAAATCCACACATCCAATCGTTCTTCAAGATTAAGCCCCAACGGCCCTTGAAGATCCGCTCATCCATCAACCTTCAAGATCAAACCCAAAAGCCCTTGAAGAAATCCACACAACCATTATTCAAGATCAAGCCCCGACGGCCCTTGAAGAAAGTGTTCATCCGTTCATCAACTGTTCATCCTTAGATCAAGCCCCGACGGCCCTTTGGATCAACAACTCATCCACAAACCTACACCCTACGAAGATAAAATCAGAGGACCAAATTTGAGAGAGATCGTAACCCCAAAATCATCAAACACAAAAAATATTATTTTGTACATGTTATTCCTGTTTCTTGTTTCAAGGAACTTTCGTGTTCACACATGGATCTCATTAACAACCAATAGAATAAAAACTAAGACTAATTTTGATTATTTTCTAATAGTTAATGTAACTCTAAGCCTAATAAAATAATAAAATAAATATTTGATACATCCATTCGAAAAAAAGAAAATTTAGCATTTGTATTCAATTTGCCACATTAGCCATCAAATAAAATTTTGACATACTATATTTAACATCTCCTTTGAAGATGCTCTTGTAGTTCATGTATTTGTGAAAAGTACATGGATTTTTAGCTGTGTTGCTTTATTGGCATTTCCTTGGTCACATATAATAAAATTTTCAGTACTAATTCTAGCTTGGGGGTTTATTCTCGAACACATGCGGCACATTGGGATTGAATAATTAACCGGTTGACTCAGTTACTTACGCATGTGTGGACGACTGATTTTAACATTTCTTTTGAATTATACCATGAAAATATTTAAAAAGTATATCATAATCCAACATAGAAAAAACGACAGAAAAGAGAGTTGAAGACCAGTTGATCAAGTTACTTCCGCATGTATGGACGATTAGTTAATTTAGTTTTAGCATTTCTCTTGAATTGCACTGTGAAACTATTTGAAAAGTATACTATAGTGCAACACAGAAAAATGAGATTGACAGAAAAGAAAGTTGGAGAGTTGAGCAGTGACTAAAATGAAATAAAAGGCTGCTTGTCCTCTAATTTATTTTTTTAAGATAAACTCGGTCAGATCATGTATATATTTAATATAAATCTGTAAGTGGACCTGTTTGTAATTTGCAGATTAACAAATAAGTATATTTGTCCCTTACTGTTCGTAGGGTAGTATTTGGATCCCATCCGGATTCAAATTCTGGGGATCTTCACATCTTAGAATCCTCACAACTTAGTCATTCATCGTGTATCGTGTGGTCAGTAATTATTTGGTTTTTCTTATTTAAAATTAAACACAAATAGTACCTAACTAAAACTGACCGTATAATATACGATAAACGGTTAGAATGTGAGAATCCTAGTGGACCTGAAGAGGATCCTTTCCTACAGGATATTCAATATGGCTTGTATAAAGAAATAATAAGCAAATAAATTTCAAGAAACACAAAATTAACATAAATCAAATGGTCCCACTCCATGCTGACTAGATCATGAGTTTGACACTCCAACAGTCAATTTCCATGAAGTTCTGGGGGAATTGGATTCCATTCAAATTCAAATTGTGAGGATCTTAGGGATCCTTACATCTTAGTCATTCATCGTATATCATGCGATTATAAATCATTTGATTTTTTTAATTTAAAATTAAATACAAATAGTACATGACAAAAATTAATTCCATGATATACGATGAACAGCTAAAATGTGAGAATCCCTAGGATTCCCACAAAATGGTCCAGAGGATCCTCTTCCAGTTTTGGGTTCTCCAAGAAGGATAATTGAAAAGGATACGAAATTCTAAATCAAGGTATTAAGTTGTAAATGTGGTGAAAATATATTAATCAAATGCATAAATAATATAGATGTACCGATACTTAGGTTGGCCAACTCAATTTCCATTTTTTAAATTGTTTCTATAAGAAGCACATTGGCTAGAAGTGGTTTTATAATAAGTATGTTGAAAATTTTGTTCCTGTTATAAACATGCAAAAGTTAGAGAGATAATCTTTACTAGTGACAGGAGCAAAGCAAGTGTAAAATATCATAGTGTAACTATAACACAAGAGGATGACAGATAAAAGAGGGAGAGAGATACTGATGTTATTGATCTTTTCTTTTCACAGTGTGTTTTGATAGCACATAGAGCGCTCTATTTATAGAGCAACTCCAAACAAACATAATAATTACATCTTGAAAAGCACAACACATACTTTTTGAAAGTATCACACAAATACAATCATCATTCTTTTTCCAAGTTCACATTACTCTGCAGGCATTCATTAATCCACCAATGTTTACAACTGTTCCCTTATCGTGTTACTTGCTATGTAATTTTCATCAATAAGATTTGACATTATGTCCTCCTCATTTGTGCTTCTATTTTTATCTTAATAAGATTATGGGGATGATCAGTGAACACTATCACCCCATTTAATAAAAAAAAAATGTTGAAAATCTTGTTAAACATCCAAGTGTTTTATTTAAAATAAAATAAAATAAAACGCTTTTATAGCCAAAAACACACTTAAGCCCTTCACCGAAAGTGGTCAAAAGTATTTTTACTTTTTTAATTGTTAAACAAAAAAAAAAAAATACGATTATAATCCTTCCATCTTATACCTGGACAAAGAGAAGTAAGCCAAAATCTAACACTATGTTTGGATGAGGGAAATGAACATAGAATTTTGGTAAAAGTCAGAATTTATAAATTGACAGGCACCAATTCTTTTGTTTAGATTCATAAATATAAAAATTTAGAATTTTCGCGTGGAAAAAAAACTTGGAATTTGGGACCTCCAAATCCCAAGTTCAAATTCCATGTAAATATGTGTCATTTCTCAATTTCTATGATTGATGGTTTAAAAATAACAAATTCCGTTTTCAATTCCATTGTTCTTTTAGGTTAACCAAACAAGAAAATTTACAAATTCTAGAAAATAAAATATCGTCATTTCAATTTCCGTCATTTTTAAATTCCTTAATAATCTTAAATTTCTTTGTAAACACGAATAATTCCTGAAACAAGCGACAAGAATACGTGTACAAAATATATATTTTGTATTAATGATTTTGGGGTTACAATCTCTTTGTAATTTGGTCCTCTGATTCTATCTTCGTAGGGTGTAGGTTTGTGGATGAATTGTTGATCCAAAGGGCCGTCGGGGCTTGATCTAAGGATGAACAGTTGATGAATGGATCTTCAAGGGGCGTTGGGCCTGATCTTGAAGAATGACGGATGATGAACGATGAACACTTTCTTCAAGGGGCCGTCGGGGCTTGATCTTGAGTTGGTGGAAGTTCTTCAAGGGCCGTTGGGGCTTGATCTTGAAGGAGGACGGAAGTTCTTCAAGGGCTTTTGGGCTTAATCTTGAAGGAGGACGGATGATGAACGATGAACACTTTCTTCAAGGGGCCGTCGGGGCTTGATCTTGAGTTGGTGGAAGTTCTTCAAGGGCCGTTGGGGCTTGATCTTGAAGGTTGATGCATGAGCGGATCTTCAAGGGCTTCTGGGCTTAATCTTGAAGGTTGATTGGATGTGTGGATTTGTTGAGGTTCTTGATCCAAAGGGGCCGTTGGGGCTTGATCTTAGGATGAACGGATGATGAGCGATGAACACTTTCTTCAAGCGCCGTCGGGGCTTGATCTTGAGTTGGTGGAAGTTCTTCAA